TCCTGTGTGGATGCATGTGTGCGTGCGTGTGTGGGTGTGTGTAGGCGTGGTGCGTGTGTGGGCGGGTGGTGGGCATGTGTTTGTGTGAGAGCGGGTGGGGGTGTGTGGGGGGGTGTGCGTGTGTCTGTGTCAGTGGGTGTATGCTCTTGCTATCTTACTACTCTTTCTCCTTGATCCCGGCGCTTGTTACAGTAATGCTGTTCTGAACAGCACCAAGGCCTTAAACCACAATTACACCTCTCAGGCAAACATTTGACATCGAAAATGAGTCATTCCGACAAGTTAGGGGACTCGCCCCAGGGCGGGCCTGGAGGCGGACAAGTTTTTGTTTTTGCCCCGCGCCTTAGGGTGGGCACTGGCGCCATGCGAGACAGAGAAAAATTTCCATCTGCGCCCCAGGCCCGCCCTAGGGGAGTCCCTAACTTTTCGGAAAGACTCACTTTCGACGTCAAAGGATTGCCTATGCGGTGTACTTGCTGTTTAAGAAAGAAAGAGAGACGAGAGAACATAGACTTGTGCTTCTGTCAGCCAAGTGGTTATGTGGAATCAAAAGTTGATCTGAGGGCCTTCTCATGTTGGTCCATGTATCCATGTGTTGCACAGAGATGAAGTATATGGGCTTGACTGGTGGGATCGGAGGCATGATAGAAATTGTAAATGGCAGGTTCATTGCCACTGCTCAGCTGTAGGTTCTTGCAATGCAGTGTCTTTCTTCCGTGCACTTTGACGATGTAGTTCATTTTGTGATTTTTCTTATTTAAGTGGCGATGGATATGAGCAGCCTTGTGTGGACGCGACTGAATTTGTCCGACAATTGTACCCTTCTCTGTGTGTGTGCACATGTGGAAATGGTGGTGGCAGTGGTGAGGAGGATGGTTCCAGGTTGCCGGACGTATCACTGGTTGAAACAGATAGACGTATTGCTATGTTCCGGCCGCTGTTTGAACTCCTTGTATCCCTGGTGAGTCTTCTGCTTCACGGACTTCCGTTGTTGTTGTTGTTGTTGTTGTTGTTGTTGTTGTTGTTTTTTTGTTTTTTTTTTTTGTTTTTTTTTGGACCACTTCTCGATTTATGTGTGTCATCCTTGCGCAGGGGCCATGCTAATGGCCACTGTATCCTTCCAATTTTAACGGGGACACTGACCTCCCATTTTCAAAAAGTAGGGAAACTGTCTAATTTCGTGCGTTTAGCGGGATCTGAACTTCCAGCTCATCAATGTATACGATTCTACTTACACCTCTTAATGTCAGTGACGTTCTGCATGACTTTCTCGGAAGCAAGTTCGGGACTAGCCTGACTGTGTATGTGAAAGTTTCATACTTGTGGCACACCGGCATTGTGCGCTGCGCGGTGCGCTCCGCAGTGTGCTGTGCCTACCCGAGGTGTGCACGCGCGCGCGCGCCACGCACCTAGGTGCGTGGACCTGAGGTGCGCGGTGCGGGGTGGGCTGTGCACATGCCTGGTGCGCTGCGCGCGGGTGCGCAGGGGAATGCGCATCTGCAGCCTGCATATGCGCCAGGTGCAGACATCGTTTTTTTTTATGTAGCATTGTAGTCTGTAGATCACACTCTCACACACACACTCACACATCTTTGTTCTTATGTTGCATTGGATATCACACACACGCACACACACACACACACACACACACACACACACACACACACACACACACACACACTCGCTCACTCTGCAGGGTTGATGCTGCTACTGTGCACAACAACTTCACGGATTAACCCAGAGAACTTAATGCTTACCTTAGGGTTGGTTGAGCGATGTGCGTGCAATCAGAGAGGAACCATGTTCGTTTTTCAAACACAAGCAGAAACAAGAAACATCACAAGATTCAAGGCAAAAGAAAGTGTTAGACTCAGTATCTCGAAAGCATAGTTTGCGAAGCTCGTAGTTTTACAAGCACGAAAGCAATCAAGCACACACTACCCTCAAGATAGTCATTCGTGATTCTGCAAAAACTAAGGGTTACTCGTCCTGCTCCCTTGACCGTTCCACCTCGTTATACTCATCCCCATCCGGCTCTCCACTATCGTCCGATCTTTGGGACAGTTCCTCCTCCTCCTCAATCTCCTGCAGCGCACTATCTTCCGACGATGACAGGGACGATGAAGAAGACTGCTTTTTCCGCTAACGACGCGGATTTTCTTCATCGCCTTCGATCACCTCAGTTGTTCTCCTCTTCGTAGGCCTTGCTGCCTCAGCTGCTGCAGCTTTTGCTGCCTTTGCACGTGCTGCTGCTTTTGCAGCCTTCGTCGCCGGTGAAAGACGAGGCCGCCCTCTCTCTATTTTTTTGGTGGAACATCCCCCTCCCCAACATTCCTCTTTCCTTCCTCAGCTCGCTGCTGTTGCCTTCTTTTTGTGTCGCCCGCGACCCGATACCGCCTCCCTCCCCAGCACCCAATCGCCGGTTTGACGCGCCTTCAAGGCACGGTCATGACCCTCCAAGGTATACACGAACCCGGGATCCGACTCTTCAAGACCCGACTTCAAGCGCAACTCCCGCACTCTGTGCTTCCCGGGCTTTCTGTTTGCATGCCATGTTCTCTCCAGCGCACCGAGCACGACAATGTCGTCCTCATCATCAACAAAGTTCTCCTCCTCGTTGTTCTTCAACCATGTTCGCGCCAGCGGGGCATCGTCGCATTCGTCGTCGCGGACCTCCGCTGCAGCAGCATCACCGGCTGTCCCTTCCCTAACTTTCGCTGCCCATTGGTTGTACCACTCCTCCACTTTCATTCTCGCCAGCTCGTCGTCCTTCCATGGAATGTGTATGTCTTCCCCGTCCCCTCGCTCCCTCCGCGTCGACAATTGGATATTCCAATTGTTATACACCAGCTTACTCAATCTCTCCGACATGAGTTTCTTGTGGCGTTGGCCGTAAATGAGCTGGTGCAAGCTCCAGTTTCGCTCGCATGTGGTCGAAGAGCTCGCCTGCCCAAGAAGTTTGATTGCCTGCGGTTGGAGGAGGTCCAGGGACCCCCCGAACGCCTCCCACCACAGCGCCGGAGTCTTCAAACTCGCCTGCTCCCTTGCGTTCTGTCCCCCAAGTGCCCAATCCCTGCACCCACATGTCCACCTGTCTGCTGATTTCTCGCTGCAGCAACTCCGACGACGCCCAAGAATAAAGCCAGATGTTGAGCCCCATGCGAATCTCCGTGTCTCGCAAGGTGTGCGTCTTGTACTCGGGATCGAGGAAGGCGGCCGCGCAATGCAGCTCTGATGTCATGAAGACCCACCGGTCGATCAAAATCTTCTCCGCGTCCACCTTCTCAGCGTCCGACAGGCAGTCTAGGGTGCGCATAGTAGCCACAACCGCATCCATGCCAAAATAGACTTTGCTCATAGTTCCTCCGGGACCGTCCACCAAACTAAGGAGCATAACTACAGTCTTCATCACTGCCAGAGCCTTGTCCACATCCTTCCCGAATCCATTTGTGTCCATGATGATATGGGTGACAACGTTGAATGCCGCCACCTGCTCCCCCCTCACCAACCTCTCCACCCACGCCGCGTTGCATACACAAAGCTCCAATGGATTCCTCCCCGTCCTAAGCGACGAAAGCATCTCAAAGTTCGTCGCGAATCTAGTGGCCGCCCGACGTTTGAGTTGCGCATCCACGATCCTGTTCTACATAGTGAGTACCTTCTCGACGTTGGTGAAAAACTTGCCAACTTGATTGCCCTTGTCGACGATCGTTTTCAACCAATCCATGCACTTGCACATGTCCTCCAAGGCCAGATCCAAGCCATGGGCTGTGCAGCCCACACTGAAGATCCCAGGGTACTTGGCCTCCACCATCTTCCCCGCTTTAGTGCAAACCCTCGCATTGTCCATCACAACGCCGACAATGGACCACGCACCGATCTCTTGGGTCACCCTGTCCAACATCTTGAAGTACTTTGTGGAATCCTTCTCCCTCTCCTCCATGCAGACAGACTTCCAAAACACATTTCCGACCGGGGAAGAGACCATGACATTCAGATGCGGTTTGTTCCTCCGATCCGACCACCCGTCCATCTGGAGCATGCAACCTGTTCTCTCCCACTTCTTCACTAGTGCCTGCGTGTCTTCTCCCACCAATTTGAACTGCCCGTCCAACCGTTTGGTCCTCATCTCGTCCCTCGTGCAAGGCCACCAACTGGGATGGCACTTCTTCACAGCGTCGAGGAATTTGAGGAAGTAGAAGTTCTCCACCATGCTGAATGGCTGATTCGTGCAAATCAGCCACCGATCCATCTTCCGACTCGTCTGCTCGTTCTGGTGATGATACTGTCCGCCTCCTCGAGCAAAGTTTGCCTTACCGGCCGTCCACCACTTCCCGGGACTGGAGGGAAGATGTTCGCAGATCCTGCAAGCGAGGGTGTCTCGCCTCACTTGGCCTGCGTGTTGGTGATGATGGAGGCACAAAACTGCTGGAAGACATTCTTGTGCTCGGACCACCACTTCCCCCAATTCCACCTGCGAGCTGACTCGCCTGGTGCTTCCTCGGTCGGATGCCCTCGATTCTCAGGACCCTTTCCTCCGCGGTCAATGCCCGAGTTAAAAGCTCAATAGTGCACTTCGTCAAGAAGTGCCTCTTGAGGACCGACTTCGTGCCGACGAACAAGGTCTCGCAATAGTTGCAGAGCCAATGCCTCGACCCCTTGCCGGGGTCCTTGCTGTGAGGACCTTCATCAGTGAAGTGTCTCACAAGCGACTGCATGATCTGCTTCGTCAGTGCCACCGACATCTTCACCTGCACACACACAATCCACAAACAGCCAAGGGGTCAGCCCCTCTTCAACACTCTTCAAAGGAACAACGTCCGCCCCTCAAACCCGCCTCCC